TATATATATATTCACACAAGCCTGAGGTCAAACTTCGTGTCGAACAAATCATGGTACAATAATCCTTGTAAAAAGTGAAAAGGGGGCACGTTACAGCTAGGTTACCCAGGCTAAAGCAGGTGAATTCTCTCAACTGGTGCCTTCGGCTAGCCATAATTGGACCCACAAAGCAACGAGGCGGTGCGTCGAAACCGCGATCTTTTGAGGGCAAGTGTCCAATTCAAACAAGAAAGTGTGTGTGTGTGGTTTGTACGCTTACTCTTGGTTTAGAATCAGGGTTTCCGGTCAACTCCATTAAGTGAACTGACAGTCGTTCACTGACCCGGTTTTAGTCACGGATATTCGCTTTTCATCCTCTCACTTTGGTGTGAAAGCACCTCCGCCACGAAAAGGCAGTGAGTAGAGCTTCCTGAGCAGAATGCATTTGAAACGCTTGATCGTATGGGACCATTTCGCGAGGTGCAAGGGAGGGGTGACCGGTTGCAACCCTAGATACCCGCCCCGCCCATACTGAGGTTTTCGGAGCCAAGGTCAACCAACCGCAATCTGTTGGATTGATGAGAATAAAATCTTTTAACTTAGCCATACTTAATGTCCGGGAACTATCCGATCGGCAAACGAGCTGCCTTAGCTGGAACCCTTGAAACAAAATTTCGACTACCGATGTTTAAGTAGTTTGGCACTGGTTGGATGGAGCGAGCTTGTAAGCAACTCTGAGGTAAGCCATCTCGTATTTGTTAGTTATTCAATGGAGAATTCCTTGTCCCATCGAATTCAGATTAGTTGGCTTCGTTGGTTGAGACACTTATTGTGCATTCCCAGCTATCGCCAACCACACCGCGCCTTATTCGCAGTTGCGGCTCCATGTTAGAAGAAATCACATGAAAATGAAATGATGACGTGGAAACGAGGTATGAAGAAATGTACAGAGTGATTAGATAGAACAGGTGTATCACGTCTTCCAGGTTGGGGTCCAAAAGACTGCAACTGACTGGTTGGGGGCACTGAAGGATATGACAACTAAACGACAGCAGTGGCGTTCTGGTTGTCATTTCTTATCAGGTCGAAATGCTTGAAAAGGTATGTATGCACAGTACGTTTTACTTTCTGTGTGTCGACCATAGAGGTTCAGTTTCCGTTCCGCCTACCAATTATGGCCAGTCCATCTTGTACTTTATCATCTAATTTGTGCACATTATGAGCTTGGCAGCGATCACTGTACGATTATTATTGTTATTACATTTAGACGTGGGTTGTCTCCATGCAAGACCCCACTTCAACCATCACTTAGTTCTTCAGATCCAATCTCATCCACATGCTTCGCTCTTCGTGCGTCAGGCGATTCGGAATCGCTGTGGTGCTGGTGTTAGATTTGCGCCAAGCTTGAGCGTTCACTTCTGTACTAGATTCCAGTTATTAACCAATTTTTCACTGTACGTCTCGACGATCAACAGCTACATAACAAGGTGTCAGCGCTTATTCATCGTGTTAGTGTATGCAACGAATGATTGGTTTGTGCCTGAAATGAAGGATCTTTCTCACTGCTCCAAAGTGTTCACTCAACGGAAATCGTGCAGTCTCTAGTGACTTCACTGCTGAGATGAAACCCATGGACGAATCAGAACCATATGATATCCCATCGAGCCGGACGGAAAAATGAGATTGTCCAATTCATCTTTGTGCTGACCACGGACTGTTCTTGTGAAGCGCCAAATTCTCCCGCAAAAAATAGACAGGTCCCATACGGAAACCATCTGCCATTTCACAGCCATGGGTTCAAATCGATCACATCGCCAATAGTTACCTCCGACGATGATCCATTGAAGACTTCCTTTCTCATTAGTCAACATCCATGGACACGGACCATGTTCCATTACGAGCCGGATTTTTCCTACGCTTGGTAAATAACCGCGACAAAGTTACCGGAAATGGATGCCCATAAAACAATGTAAACGATAGTTGCAAATGCACCTTCGGATCAGAGCTCTCTCATTTAAACCATCCATTGAAGGACTCAATGAGCACGAAGTTAATCAAGAAAGCTATCCATACATCGATTGCGATAGTGATGGATTCTAGCGCATGCTCACAGCAAAGCCGATGGAGCTCCTCGATCTCATTTGCCTTGTGGACATTACATGAGGTAGACTACTTGATGAATTTACCCAGTGTGGAATGCGTTTGGGGATATTAGACGGATGTAGAAACAGGTGTGAAACACTTTATAGGGAAAAAATGTGACTGAAAGACTGGGAAGCTTAAGTAGGGTGCCTCAAAGAATCAGAACGAATCTCGAGTGGGAGAGGTGAAAACATATCAGTTTAGATCGGGCAGTAACCCCGCAGAGGCTGAAGGTACATGATGAAAGTTCGCGTGTACGAATAAAACTGACCTGTATACGGGAAAGAAGAATCGAGTATAAAGTAAATTGTTGTTGTTGTTGTTTTTGGGACGAGATAGGGGATGAGACAAAAATCACTCCATATGATTGTATCATTGGAGTACAGAAAGTGTCCAGACTTTAGGCAAAAGAATACATTGTCAGTAGAACAGTGTAGCACCTCCAGTATGAAATAGAAAACAATATTTATCTGACTGTAATGGTTGGAACTGTGAGATGTAACATAATTAAGCTCAAAATGATAAACTTACAAATGGTGGGGTGACGGACTTCAAGTCTTCCATGAATATGGCAGGGAAAGATAGAAGTGGAAAGAGCCGTTATTACCGAAATTGGACATAGGACTGCAATAGGAGATAAAAGATACAATCATTGATAAAAAGGTGAACAATTATCACTTATCGAAAGGGCTTCCGCGGAAGTCATAGCAGAAATAAAAACAAAAAACAAAACAAGTACTTGGGCGGATTTGGTCTTGTTTTGAATACCAGTCAAGATGCATTGAATGAGTTCCTGTAACCTTCAGTGGTAGACTATTACTTCATGCTCGATGGAAGGCTTTCAATTTGCCTGGATACATCATACCCGATAATAATAGTTATTATTATATTTTACTTCCCATTACTGAAAATACGATTGCGAAATCACTTTACAAGAACAGAGAAGCAGACTGTCGGGGACACTTCCCGGAGTTAGGCGGCTTTGCTGGTTAACTTCGATCAGACGGTCTTCAAGGCGATGTGACGATGGTCTATACCGCTTAACTAATTGAGGTCAACTTAAATGTCTTTACAACAGTGTGATCCATATTTTGGTTTGATTTCGGTGGAGTTCTTGCCTCGTTTATTTCCTTGACTGAAGTATCTCGCCTTCTGTTTACAGCTCTATATGGGCACTTTCAAACCAGTGAAAGTTGGAAGAACCTAGCCTTCCAGTTGGGATTTATGCCACCGGAAGTTGAAGAACTGGAACGCGCTGTGACGGAGACTAGCGCAACCGGATCTGAGGGCCCAGTCACTCCGAAACGGGCGTTTTGTTTACTGTTCCATTGTTATCAACGTCAAGGCGGAAGTGTGATTCAGTTTATTCGTGATTTGCGCACTATGAACCGATCGAGTTCACCCCTCCTCGACCATGCGGGTTCAACGCTGGAGGCTTTGGTTAATTCAACTGATTCTCCAAAGTCCACACATTTGTCCCCCGGGTTCCACTTTGATTGCGACTTCAGACCCGACAAAAGTAAGCAAAGGAGAGCGTTGGGTCAGTTGGGAGCAACTGAGTGACCTCCGAATGTTTACAGCCTATTTAAATATGTAGATAACTAGTTGCACATAATCCTCGTGGCTTTTACAAGAAGCCATTTTACTTTGTTCGCCTGGCAAAGTTATTCGGTTACTAATAATCGGAGATCGATCTGTATCTTCTGACTCACCTTGTGTATACGAGCTACAGTGGTAGATGTGGGCAAGTTGTTCATCTTTTTACTTTATTTACCTCAATATTTGTGTTTTAATCCCCGAAGTGATTATAATGTTCTTTTTCCCGAATTTAAAGTAGATTAAATCCAATTGGTACGGTTATTCTTACCACCTGTGTTCCTGAAAGTGAGTCCGCAATGGCTACTTGTTCAATTTGCAAACATTTGGTACTGTTTGTTTGGACTGGTTGAACTAATTCGCAGAATCATCTTGCCGTCTTCCTCGTTAAAATTGTTCCCGTTTTTTGTGATGCAGTGTTCATAAGCCCGCCATTTTGATAGTCAAGGTTTCGTTACTTTCATCAGGATACTATTAATCCGGATGCTATCTAAGCTTCTTGTAACAACGGAGCAATCGTAACTATGATGTGACCTCGTATCATGTTTAGAGATCATCGTAATTCACTTGTATGGAACTTCAAGAATAGGATTTCGAAAACACAAGCGCAAGTGACTCATATGAAACTGCACTGATTTCGAGCTCGTGGATGAGCCCGTAATAAATAGTCCTTAGTAAAATGAAGCCATACCACCAAAATGGGGGTACGATGTCACTGCAGGTAACGCCTAGTATGCAGGGTAGGTTATCTCAAATCCAAAAAATAGGAATTGTGGAGAAGTTAGTTTTACTTGTGCATTGTTTTCATTTTAAATAGACCAAGATTAAGGTATTGAGCAGGCTTGTTTGACTGGCTTATAGTCTGCAGTAAATACCAAATTCGAACACCATCCCTTCAGTTCAGCTTAAGACTGTTTGATTTCTTAGGAAACTACTAACACAGGTAGGAGTGCTTCAAAAACGCTAACTAGTTCGGTGCGGTTTTAGCACCTAACTCTATGCTGCCTCGTGCGTTTGGAATGCTATCTTGTAAAATTGAGCTCAAGCTTCTGACTCCAAAAATTCAACATGATAGGATAAATACATGTCCTGTTCTTTAACAGACAGTACCCCGACTATTCATTTTCGCAAAAAATATTGATACTGTTTTGAAATTACAGTTATTTTCCTCTTTTTTCACCTTCCCATTATATCCTATTTAATCGTTCCAGTAGAACGTCTTAAATTCTCCCTCCCGATTGTTTTGGTGTATCGGGTAAATTATCGATCGGTTCCCTAATTT